TTGTCCAAAGCAAAGCTAACTCTTAGTACGAGACCTGTCGCTTTAGCCCCTATATCTTTAATAGGGCCCCACATTTCATCCTTTTGGGCCCACATTTCCTAGCTGGATTTTGGGCTATATTTGGACATTGGGTTAACAAGAGTAACATGAAATAAACATTTTTGTTGGTCACGCGGGGGTGGAGTGAGGACCATAGAATGTGACTTTTATTTTCTTATCACCGTGGTATTCAGACTAGCTTTCGCGCATCTTGATTAATTTCCCAAAATACCTGTCACATTCCACTAGCAACAGGTATCGCAACAGGTATCAGGTAACTCTGAAACCACCAAGGCTAGAATAGATGGAAAGAATTACCTAGAGTTTTATTGTCTCCACTGAGTTTTGAACCTGAGATTATAGAACGTGTATATATTTTGTAAATTAGATGAACGTTCATAGTTATCCCATATGAAAATCCATCGAGTCCATTTGTATTTGTGGGCACTATGGTACTTATAATATGACTTTAAATTATTTGACCCCACTCTTTTATGTTTAGCATGTAGATTGGGTCATGTTCACGTTATTTCTTGGATCATGTGTCTAAGTTCTTGGTCCCATAATGTTTTCTTTACTTTAGTTTGCTTTCATTTGTGGTCCTTATTTTAGATCATCTTGCAATTATGATTTAGCACTTTTCTATCTTACTTCGTCATTTCCATCCCAAAGTTGTTGAAACTAACAATATTTTAAGCTTGTTAGGCTGACCAATTGGACCACTATAGGAGTAAGAAGCTTAGAAAAATAATACTCCCTCCGTTTCACAAAGAATGACCTCCTTTCCTTTTTAGTCAGTTTCAAAAAAATGACCTCTTTCCTTATTTGGTAACATTTTACTTTTTGCTTTCCACGTGGCATATTTAAGACCACAAGATTAAGGGCAATTTTGTACATTTGACATAACTTTAATTTAAGACCACAAGATTCAAAAGTCTTCTTTAATTTCTTAAACTTTGTGCCAAGTCAAACCAGATCAATCTTTTTGAAACGGAGGGAGTAATAAAGTACAATGTATAGGAAGGCCTATAATGATAAGCTATATTATTTGGACGCATCAAAAGTGTTGTTGCACTAGTCAGATCTTTAAGAAATGTGCAATTTTTGAAGGATCCGACAAACACCTTGAAAGATGCATAAGCAAAGACAAACATGTGACGGGTTACGTGAGTTCAACTGAAGTGATCTTTGTGATTAGGTGGTTGTGATTATGTTTTGGTCAAGTCTACTTAGAAGTTGCAAACCCAATAAAAAGAAGAGTCTAAAATGTAGACTAGTCTGGGTAAAGACTTGTCTGAATTATCTTTGACATGACCAGCCATTGATATTTCTGTTCATTCACTGTAGTCCAGCCTCCAACTTACTCAATCCTTCACAAATTCAACTGTTGAATTCATCACTACCCCCATAAAGTTAACTTATGAAATTAAGTGACTTTCAAACAGTAAGTTTTGCTTTTGGACCTATAAAAAAATCTTCTGCTTTGACTGTTCTTTGTTTGATAGTACAAAAAAGATGCCATTTCTAGCAGCAGTAATAGGTGGAATCACTTCCTATTGTCTGAAATAGGCAGAACAGTTAAATCTGTCATTAATTTGTTAAACCAGTATTGACTTGTCGTCAAAAGCGCGCTTAAGCCCTGAAGCTAGGGGTAAAACATGTTGAGCATTTCGCTTCATGAAACATACTTTTCCTTGCCAATGAGAGTGACATTTAATCTGTTATTAATTTGTTAAACCAATATTGTCAAACTCGCGCTTAAACCCCGAAGCTAGGGGCAAAAACATGTTGATCATTTCGTTTCATAATCCTAATGAGTGGATCCTAAACAATTTACTCTTCACTCTATTGTAATTTCTTTGTCCGTATATTTGTCATTTATGCATATATTTATTAGTATTGGACTACACATATTAACTGTTTTAACTTATTCTAATACTGTAGTTAATCTTTTAATCAAGAATCCATCTTCTTGATGTTGTACTAAGTTGCTATGAACTTATAGTTTTTAAACATTTGCAGATCAAGGATATTGCTTTAAAAGTCTCTGGTGCATATAAATGCAAGTCATCAACACCAACTGGTACTTACAGGAAAGGTCATAGACCTTATCCTGATTTTGATACAATATCGGAGGGAGTTCCATATCCTTTTCAACCAGCAAGTTCAAGCTCTACTCCAGCTTGGGATTTTACAAGTGCTGGTAATCTAAGGACTCCGCGACCTGATTCAAGATTTGCTAGAGGATTTAGTGGTGGTGGTGTAGAATCTATTTCTCAGTCTGGTGAGGTAGTGGTGGAAGATGATGGACAAAAAGAGTGGACTGCACATGTTGAACCTGGTGTGCAGATCACTTTTGTTTCTCTCCCTAATGGTGGAAATGATCTTAAACGAATCCGATTTAGGTATCTATCGAAAATCTCTTTTCATTTCTACCGCGAAACTTTATCATAGTATATAATATTGGACTAAGGTGAGCTTGAATGGAGCGACATGGACAATAAGGATTCATGTAACTGATCCCCACTTACTTCGGATTGAGTCATAGTCTGGAACGAAATCATGGGAATTATGATTATGACAACTCTTGCATATGAATACTATAAGAAACAGCCTCTTTTGTACTGAAAGCTTCTTTACCTAATCTTATCCTAGGCCACTGTTTAGTCCCTTTCATCCATGAAATGAATTCTTATTGAGTTTCCCTTTTCTTTGTTCCCTCATGAGTCGTGTGCTAAAATATTTCACTTGTTTAGTACTGAGCCTTCAATTATCTTACTTACTACATGTGCCATTCTTATTACTTAGTTGATGTGTTTTGAATGCCATCTGAAATGATGACCTATTTTATTGAAAGTATCCGTGTTACGTAGCTTTCTAGTTGTCTAAGCTGTCAAATTGTCCACTTGCTATCTGTATTATTCCTATCCTTACTGAAAATATCAGTGTTATTTGTATCTTATTGAAACACCCTTTGATGGTCCTGACAATAAATATCCTCGGGTTCTTTTGAAGTCGGGATATGTTCAACAAATGGCAAGCTCAAAGATGGTGGGGTGAGAATTATGACCGAATTATGGAGCTCTACAATGTTCAGAGATTCAACAAACAAGCTCTTAACACGCCTGGAAGGTCTGAGGACGGAGTAAGTCTGTTAGATTTGATTGGTCTAAGCACAGCCTTGACCACAATTTTCTTTCTGCTTTGATTTACATTAACTCAGTTATCTGCTAAATTTACTGAAATACTTAGTATTTAGCTAACCGGTTTCCCCTTCATTAGCTTGTAACCCTGATCAAAGTAATTAGCTAGCTCTACTCATCAAGTCATCTTCTATTTGTTACCGGCAAGAAGTTATACTTCTGTGCCCTAAAAATCAATAACAGCACTAAATTTACTTGATTTAAACGACTATAAACTCATCAAGTTCGATAAAGGATCAATTATAATAGCTTAAAGATCTAAAGGAAATAATAGATTTGAAATTGATGTACCTGTGATGTTTTTCTGCAGAGAGATTCCAATTATTCGAGGCTTGGATCCGCGATAGAGAGCCCTATGATGACTCCTGCAACAAATAAGGACTGGCCACCAAGCAATTACCATAAACCATCTGGATCAACTGGTTTCCCAAAGGGGGATATGTCATATATGGATGCGTCAAGGACAACTACAGACTCTAGGGATGAAGCTTCACTTTCCGTTAGTAATGCCAGTGAAATGGAGTCAGAATGGATAGAACAAGATGAGCCTGGTGTGTATATAACCATCAGACAACTAGTTGATGGAACTAGAGAGCTACGACGTGTAAGATTCAGGTATTTCAAAATCTCAACTCTGTGTATATGAACTCGAGACATGATTGAAAAGGCTGAGTCACTATTTTGCTGAAATTTGTATTCATTTTGAACATTTTCTTACAACTTTCTCTTCATTCATACAGTCGGGAGAAGTTTGGGGAGGTGCACGCAAAGCTGTGGTGGGAACAGAACAGAGAGAGAATACAATCTCAATACCTTTAAATCCACAAATTTCTATCCACAGAACAGAAGAATTATTCCATGGAAAAGGGAAATTTTTTGCCTCTTGGATGTGATGAAGCTGAAACAGAGATCATTACAAGATACTTATATCAAAAGTATTTATATTAGTTCAGATAGAATGGCTCCATTCTACAGAACAAAATCACTTTGGCCATTAAGCAATTTTCATGGCATTTCTTGATCTCTAGTTATACATGATCTTGCAAATTCTCTCATGAATCTCCTTGTTTTTCTTTAAAGGTTTCAAGTTGTTTTCCTTGTAACATAATCTTTCTAAAAATTTAGTTGAACCAAATGCTAGATGATGCAGAACTTACTGCTTTTTTCATTACTATTGTCAATATCTATAGCTCCCTGGCATTTATCGACCCTCAATTGATAATTATGTGGTCCATTGTCTATCTTTTATGCAATGAATTCCAAACTAGAGAAAGACTAAAGGACAGAATGGACGTTCAAGCCCCATGTCTCAAGGCTTATGTCTCGCCCTGTATTGAGTAGAAAGCCCTGCCTTTTAAGGCACTGGTTTAAACAAGTATCCCAACTGCTAATGAAAAGATCATTGAGGTTTAAGCTTAGCATATTAGAGAGAATTATTTATGTTTGGAAAGAGCCAAGCAATAGAATAGATTCACTTCATTAGTGAAGGGGGACTTGGTATACTTATCAAACATTTACGCAATAGGGGCAAAGACCCATCATAGAGTTGAAATTCCAAGGTTTATTGATGAAAAGTAAACTACCAAGACATGGTGCAGCTGCAACTTAAGCAAGCAAGCTTGGCCTGTCATAATAATAGAATCTTTTCTATTCCCCAAGCAAAAGTTATTTCCTCGAGACTACTACATATGAAAACGGTATAGTAACAATGTAATGGAAAGTAAATGATAAAGAAGGCCAGATATGTACTAGCTACTTATCAGAAAGGTACAAATGTTAAATCGCACTTTGGAAACCAAATACAATTCAGTCATCAGAAACACATGAAAAGCTTCAAATGTACATTACAAGCAAGTAAACACATGGGGAGGGGGGGTTCTCTACCATGAGAAATCGTCTAAGTTCAACCAGAGGTAGAACATTATGATCATGAAAAATTTGAAAAAAGAAAACAGGTTACATTTAGAGAAACCTTGTTATTCAAAGGGCCAGTTGGAGTACTCAGAGTAATTATTGTGTTGATGGCTGGTTTGTGAGCTGGTTTCAGCAGCTGGAGTACTTCGGGAACTAGAACGAGATGAACCAAAGTTCCAGAGGGAAGACCATGGTCTCCGCCTTTCTTGGTTCTGAGAACTGTTCTCCCTAGCACTAACTCGCCTACTGCTGCTTCTGCTTTCACTCCTTGAGTTTCGAGAAGAATGGTCATTGCCAGATTTTTCAGGTATCAGCTCCTTTCTACAGACAGGACATGAATTCTTCTGTTCTAGCCATGGAGTGATACAATCCGAGTGATATAAGTGCTTGCAAGGCAATTTTGTTGCCTTAGTCCCCAGAGCAAATTTCTCTTTACAAACAGGGCAGTGAGAATCCGATCTAACATCTTTTTTCGATATCTTGACTGTTGGTAGGGAATCAATTGAACATCTTGAGGCAGGAGGAGCACCACGCTGATTTCTATTTACAATTTCTTCAAAAAATTCCTCCACTCCTGGACCAACAAAATAATCACCACCATTTTCTTGTCGGAAGCCAAGAGCCTCATTAAGAAACTCCAAAACTCCACCATCCCCAGGCATCTGAACAGGCGTATCACCACTGAAAATCAGCAATGGATTCCATAAATTTCCTCGTTCAGCACCCCCATCAGATCTCCCTCTCTCAGAAGTATTACTTGTAGTTGAGATTTGTCGTCTTAAAAAGTTTGAGACGGATTCCATGAATCTCGGCCTCTGGCTCTGATTATCTACACTACTACTCGTTATGTCTTCAAGCTCTTGAACAAATCCACCACCGCAATTGGGGCAAACATCATTTTGTCTCCTGAGATTCACAGGTTGTCTACAACTATAACACCAGTGGCTGCAACTGTCACTTGACATGCTTACTCTTCCTAGCACTTCTGCCCAACTTTATGCCGCTTCTAAACTACAAGTCTGACACAAAACTAAACAACATAAAACTTGTAGCTCATTAAGCTCCTTGAAAAGAGACATTTTTGAACAAGTAATAGTAGGTATCATCACGTCAATTATTTACTATTCAATTGGAACCATAAAAGCCCCTGGATAGATGCCACTCTATTTAGGACAACATATGTAAGAATCAATTGAAAGTTCATTTCAAATCCATAATTAAATGATAATAAGCTTGACAGAGAGAAACTTAAAATATGTAATGCAATGGAAGAAAATCTTTATCTTTTGAAGGCAGATCATACAAATAAACGAAGATAAATCATACTCCTTCCGTCCCAATATAAGTCTAGCTTTAGCTCATTTCCTGCCCATTAAGAAAAACAACAAATGTATGGATAATTTACTAAGTTAACCCCATGTATTAGATGTTTCTGGAGAATTGAGCACTGCTATAAATAAGATTAATTCTTTAATATAAGGGTATAATTGGAAACGAATTCCTAAAGCACCACTTATTTTGGGATTATTAGCTCCAAAATCCGAATCCCCATTGGAGGGTCAATTCAGAGGTGACGCTCCCAATAGTATTTTCTCCATACCCAGGCTCGAACCAGAGAGTTCTGGTTAATAGTGGAGCAGTCCACCACTACACCACAATCCATGTTGGTTAAAGTGATACTTATGTTAGAACGAAGGGAGTAATTAAACTCACAGGTAAAGAAGAAAAGGGAAATAGCTAAAATCTGCATCTAATTAGACGAAAAAGATCCAAATTCTCCAATTTCACTCACTATTTGTCATCCATAAGCAGATATCTATCTAACAATCTGATACCTATATGAAAAAAGACCATTTATAAACACCATTTGCTCAAAATCCAATTAAATGAACCACAAAAGCAGAAAAAAAAAACTCAAATAGAGCAAATCTAGGTACTAAAAACAAGAAATCAAAAAGCAAAAGAATGAAGAAAAGGGGTAAAGGGATTACCCTTGATAAAAATGGCGACCGACCCAGATTAAGGAAAACACACAATGTAGCTGCTACATATAGAGAGAGAGAGAGAGAGGGGAAATGGAAGATAGAGACCAAAAAGATGAAGTTGAGTAGTGAGTGTTGTAATAATGATGATGAATCATTATTTTATTATTTTACACTCAATTTTATAAAAACTATAATATAGTTGTGTTTGATGTATAATGGAATGGGAATATACACATTGGCCTGCACGTGCTTGCCTGCATTTATCCACCTCCATTAACTTATTAATTGATTACCTATAAATAATTGAGTATATTTTAGATCTCGAGTTTCAAAAGTTTCTTTCGTTTTTAAGTTACGTGTCCAGTTAAATATATTTCTTGACTGTCTTTCGAAAAGAGTTTCTCTACTTTAGAGAGGTAGTGGTAAAGATGGCCTATACTTCATCTTTGCAAGCCCCCACTATGGGTGATTACACTTAGGGGTGTTTAAAATTGAATCGAAATTGATAACTCAAATTGAAAATAAGTTATTGGTTTACCAATTTAGATAACGGTTTTGATTTTTTTATTATTGGGTTATTATGTGCATCGGTTATTTGTTTGTCACCTTGTTTTAAAGTGATTTTTAATGTTTTTTCTATGTCAAATCTTAACGATTAAACTGATAATAAAATCGATAACGATCAATGACCAATAAATTGATAATCGATAAGTTAATATCTTAATGACTCTATAATAATTTTACATATCTACAGATCGATAATCAATAAATCAAATCAATAAATTTTCAAACGAACTGAATTAAGTGATACACAATCCTAATTTCATTAGATATGTTATTGTTATTGTGTTCAGTCAAACACATTCCAATAAATTAAGCCACAAAATATTACTTATTATAACTTCTAGTCAAGAACCAAAGCAGTTTTAAAGGAAACAATTGAACAAATTTCTTAGTTGTAAAATTAATGTTGATAGTTAAATTTTATGTATTTCGTTGTGTTTTTTCTTGAACCAAGGGTTTATCGAAAATAAATTCTCTAACTCTCAAGATAGGATAAGATCGATGTACACACTATCCTCTATAACATCTATTTTTGAAATTACACAAGTATGTTATTGACAATTAAACTTTAAATAATACGTATTATTGGAATTATGTAAAATTATCATTTTAAATAGTCAAAGTAAGCTCACAATTTTCAATATTAAATTTTGCTCAAGTTTTTACAATTAAAATCACTTGTCTTGAGCTTTAAATGGAGGACGTAACTGCCTAAAAATAATTTTACGCTACTTACCTAATTACGGGGAGGGAGAGGGAGGGGGGGGGGGGGGGGGGGGGGGGGGGGGGGGGGGGGGGGATTTCTGAACAAATAATACATATTAAAAATAGTTATTTCAATTTATTTGTTCAATTTATAAAAGCAAGAGAACTTTATTATATTTTTCTCTTTTTACCTTTAGTATTAAATAGCAATAAAAATAGTAATAATAGACAAATTTAAAATTTCAATCATCATTAATAAGGTTAATTTAATAAAATACTAGTATCTCGAATTAATTTTGTTTTAAAGACTATGCCAAATCCATAGATATCCAATAATATGAAAGGGATAATAAATTACTCCCTCTCCTAATTATTGTTCACTTTTAAATTGACACACCTATTAAGAAAATAATTATTAACATAGTGAGTTTATCATTTTATTCCTATTATCATGAAGTGGATGAATTAAAAACTTAGTATTTTCAAAAAGTTCTATCTTTTTCAAAATAATTAATTGAGGGTATAATAGATAAAAAAAAAAAATCTTTTTCTTGATTTGTCAAAATGAACAAGTAATTAGGGATAACTAAAAACGAAAACGTAGACGAATAATTAGAAACAACGGGAGTACTAAATTGGTAATATTTACACGTGAATAAACTTTTAACTCAAATAATTATTACCAAAAACAGAATTTAGAAATGGTGTTTCCTTACCTTTTCGAATAGGGAAAATAAAAAAAAATAGAGCAAGCTCCCATTTTGATCATAAATGAGAGAGTTACACAAATCTATAAAAGGGTCATTACCCAGCCTTTCTTCTTCATTCCTAAATTTTACTATTCAATTTCTCTTGCGTAATGGAAAATAGTGATCAATTTTCCGACGATTTTCTAATGTCTCTGCCATTTTCGGAAGACAGTGTTATTGATGCTGAACCAATTAGCTTTTCTCTTCCTCATCACTCGTCTACTGTTGATTTCCCTTTCTGTATGTTTCACCAAGGTTCTCCTCCATCATCCGCAGCGTCAAGTAGTACTACTGTTGATTTCTCTTCCATAGATGGCGGCAAGGACGATCCTAATTCACCTTTTTTGACTCTCTTTACAGGATTTTCTAAAAACTTTGTTGCTTCGAAACCAATTGTAAACAGTACTCCCCCTCCTCCTCCGTCATCCACTGATCTCTGTCTTTCTCTACCAGCCCTACCCAACACCTCTTCGACTGCCCAATCTTCCATTGATAGTCAACATTCTTGTAGTTTTGCTTCATCAAGTCGGGAGGTAAATGCATTGGGTAACTCTGCTCCTAAAAGAATTGGGGGGAAGAGAAATTCATCCCGCTCAAGAAACCCAAGCTGACAAAAGAATCAAACAGAGAGGAAGGTCATTGGATAACAAAGAAGCTAACTAGAAGCGATGTGAATGGAGCTTCGAGGTTATTACTATCTCGACAAGACGTGAATAATTACATATTACCCTTCATGAACAAGGAAGAACAGAGCATAATTTGTCAACAATTATGTGGAGTTGATGTTACCGTATTTGATATGGATACACAAACAAAGCATATTTTGACCCTCAAGAAATGGTCTACTAATAGCTTTCACCTTGTCAAAGCATGGACAAAGGATTTTGTCAAAAGGAGAAATCTCAAAGAAAAAGATGCCATTTCCATTCATTGGGAGAAAAGCAATTCAAGATTTTGTTTTCGAGTTGACACGAGGAATCAACTAGATCTTTAAGATTATTTTTATTTTTTTCATATTTTTCACTTTATAGTTAGTTATCTAGAGTTTTAGCTCAATGATCAATTTTGTAGTATGGAAACAAGGCTTTTTAGTGTTGCTTCATTTATATAATCATTCTTTGTTCTGAATTGATCTTTACATCTTGTTTTGATGGTTGTTACTTATTATTCCATAATGTATCTCATTGTATTGTATAGTTTTCTATGGTTACACAAAGATAGTTTGTTCACTGGCAACAAGTAAACAGATGGTTTTCATATTTTTTTTAGTTAGTTATATCGAGCTATAGCTCAATGATCAATTTTGTGACTATGGAAACAAAGCTTTTTAGTGTTGCTTCATTCATATAATCATTCTTTGTTGTGAATTGATCTTTTCATCTTGTTTTGATGGTTGTTACTTATTATTTCATAATGTATCGCGTTGTATTGTATAATTTTCTATGGTTACATAATGTGAAAACTTAGTTTGTTCACTGGCAACAGTAAACAAATGGTTTCTGGTACTGGTGTGATCAAAACTAAAAATCTGCAGAATGTTAAGTCTCCTTGTTGTGCTAACTGACTATTGGGCAACTTAATTTATGTACAAAAGATGCAATGTATACATACTATCAGTGAGTGTTGAGGAAAACCATTTATTCAAGCAAAACAAGGAAATACATTATTCAAAACATCGTAGATGTAACAGTATCACCAAAAACTAAACAAAAATATTGAAAGCACAAAGACTGCTGGCTTCACCAAAGTAACATCAAATTTAGCCATGCACATAAATACTATTATCGCGAATAGAACACTGGAACAAAGTCGTGCTGTCCATGCCATCCTCCTGCCTTCATTGGCTTAACTACTGGCTGCATTGTAGGTCCTCTGCCAGAGCCAATATTCATGTTTCCCAGCTTGTCAGCTGCATCAGAAACGGCAAAATTCTGCACTCTGGAACAAACCACTGCCAAGCTCAAAAGTTAGTTTTCGTTATGGAATAATAAGTAACAACCATCAAAACAAGATATAAAGATCAATTCAGAACAAAGAATGATTATATAAATGAAGCAACACTAAAGAGTTTTGTTTCCACACTTGCACAATTGATCATTAAGCTAAAGCTCGATATAACTAACTAAAAAAAAATATGAAAAAATAAAGATCTTAAAGATCTAGTTGATTCCTCATGTCAACTCGAAAGCAAAATCTTGAATTGGTTTTTTCCCAACGTATCGAGATGACGTCATTTTCTTTGAGATTCCTCCTTTTGACAAAATCCTTTGTCCATGCTTTGACAAGGTGAAAGCTATTAGTTGACCATTTTTTTAGAGTCAAAATATGGCTTGTTTGTGTATCCATATCATATACGGTAACATCAACTCCACACTATTGTTGGTAAATTATGCTCTGTTCTTCCTCATTCATAAAGGGTAATATGTAATTATTCACGTCTTGTCGAGATAGTAATTGCCTTGAAGCTCCATTCACATCGCTTCTAGTTAGCTTCTTTGTTATCCAGTTACCCAATGCATTAACCTCCCGACTTGATGAACCAAAAACAAAAGAGTGTTGACTATCAATGGAAGATTGGGCTGTCGAAGAGGTGTTGGGTAGGGATGGGGGAGGAGTATTCTTTGCAATTGGTTTTAAGTTTTCATAAACTCGTGTAAAGAGAGTCAAAAAAGGTGAATTAGGATGGTCCTTGCCGCCGTCTATGGAAGAGAAATCAACAGTAGTAGTAATTGGTTTCGAAGCAGCAAGATTTTGAGAAACTTGGGGAAACAGAGACAAAGTGGTATTAGAAGACGAATAGTGATGAGGAAGAGAATAGCTAATTGGTTCGGCATCAATAACACCGTCTTCCGAAAATGGCAGAGATATTAGAAAATCGTCGGAAAATTGATCACCAATTTCCATAGCGTAACTAAGAGAAATAAAGGAATGAGAATAGTAGTAATATTTTGGAATGAAGAAAAAGGCCCTTTTATAGGTTTGTATAATTTTCCCATTTTGGATCAAACTCGGATTCTGTGTTAAAAAGGAGAGTTCAATTTTTGGTATATTATTTGAGTTAAAAGAGTTTAAATTAATTATTACCAATTAATTAATTTATTATCCATTTCATATTTTAACATATACTATTTGTTCAAAAATCCCCTCCA